CTATGTAAACACTCAACTGTCTATGGAGTTGCTTGGAAACAGAGAACTCTGCGTGTGTTTGGGGAAATGTTTTCCATTTCCAAATCTAGTTCATTTTAGTTAGAGGTAATTCATGCTGCCCATAGGTGACAAAATCCTGTGTCGCCACTATGATTGGGGTTTCAGTTTTTGTCCAGAAATGGGCTGGCTGCGGGGTGGAGGAAGGATGTGGAGTTCTGCGTGTTTGCATGCAGCCATGACAGGGTAAGCCAGGTGGAAGCCAATGCAGCATTCTGTTGATTCCCTCTTGAATTCTGAACCAATCCTGGGTGCTGATAGTCGCAAACTTTTCCTGAAGCAGGTACTCCACATAGGTAGTCACACTGTGGTGAACGACATATTTTCCAGAGCCACCTCGGTAGCTGATCAGCCCCCTCCACTCATAGATGCGCTGTTCAATTTGGCTGCATGTACTATCAGTTTCCCACCAGCAGGATGAAATAACATCTCCCTTTGCCAACATGGCACCACAAGAACAGTTAAGTCCTCCAGAACATGAAAGGCCTGAAATGATAGAGAAAGCATTGTAGCAAGACCACCAACTATTCTACCCCAAACGCAAGCAGTTATGTAATTTTTTGTAAAACAAAGTCAGCTTAGAATTTTTAACTTACCATTGTTTCTGCACTACTTTAGCTGGGATTAACCAGGCTGTGTCCAGGGAAATTCTGTGGACTGATGCATCCCTCTCACAATATATTGCAGTTCAGTTGTGAAATGGAACATTTTATGTCCTTGAAATTCCACAAGAATTATTTCTGCGCTCCTCCACTGAGCTCTGTGAGAAAATAATCCTGTTTCTTGTCCTGCAGGCCCCTCGACCCCTACTGACTGCTGTACCTCCCCAGCTTGCCCTCAGTGCAGCACAAGCCTGGCCCAACATACCTTCCTGGACCATTCCAAAAGGGACCATTTCTGTGAGGAACTGATGGTTGACGTTTTGGAGAGGGCCCATGAGCAGGTTCAGGACCAGAAACAGAGGGACTTATGACTAGAGAACGGGCATGCCGAGAGGCAGGAGAAAAGGCTGAGGCTCACTGCACAGCTTGAGGACAGGGTTTCAGCAGGGGAGCCGGCACTTGTTACACTGTTCCTGGAACAGGAAGGGCAGATAAGGGAGGAGGACAGAGATCAGCAGAGAGAACTGTTTGAGCGGCTCATCTCAATCATGGCTGCAAGAGTAACGGCTCCTGCTGCCTTTCTCACACCATGGCATGGTTCCTCTGTGACGTCCCCTCGGTCTAGAAACAGCTTGGAACACTCCATATCTGAGTGGCCCATGCAGTCGGGCCCCAGGAGCAGCTGGGCAGGGCAAACTAAACCCCATGCAACCCTCTGTCCTGACTCCCGCTCCTGTGGACACCTGCACCCCCCTCCCTGGTGCCAAGCGTGTGGAAAACAGGGAAAGAAGAACAGGGGGCTAGGGGACATGCAGCAGCAGGGGGGGTTCTGTCCTGTTTGCACTTTTCCTGCACTTTTGTTTTGTTTTGGAAATGCTGTTTTGTAACTGGTGTTTGGGTGTTGTAATGGCAACCACCCTGCCTGGCAACGGGTGACAGTTGTACTGTTTTAACACATGTTTACAAATAAAGCTTTTTATGTCATCAAGAAAGTTTATTGCTATCACTGCACCTCATCATACAATCAGTATTGAAATAATCAAGCTAAATCCATGATCAGGAACAATGAGGAAGTACGTACAGCAATCCACTCTTCAATCACTTCCTCATATGAATCCATACCGTGAATCATCCTACCCTTTTTGTAAGTCGTCATATCATTCATAACTACATTGCAAGGCAATCAAGCCCCTATCTCTCCCTAGCACTGACACCCCCCAAACCAAACAGCCTCAACCCCCACAAGCACATTCACAGAAGTACTAATCCTCCTCTTCCATGGGACCATGCAAGCCCATAATGTGGGAGCACAAAGCATCCCTGACTTCTGTTGCCCAGGTGCATCCAGCTCCAACTGTGGTAGCTGCACTTTCTGGCTGAGTGTACTGATTCAGTGGCCCCTTGCTGTCATAGGTCCATTCAGGGGGAAATGGCTCACCTCTGGCTTCAAAGATTGTGAAGAGCACAGCAAGTCACAGTAATGCAGACAGCATTGATGCTACTAGCATCCAAACAGGTCTGTGGGCATCTCCAACGGTGCCTCATGTGTGTGTCTTTACCCTGGAGGGTCAAGGCAAGCTACTCAGAAAGCTCTAAAAATGTAAGCTTTCTTCATGTGAAAGTTCTGGACCCACAGCTGATCATCCCAGGTCTGCATGACAATGTGATCCCACTAGTCTGTGCTTGTGGTCCTGTGCCAGAAGCGCTGGTTTATGTTGGGAGCATCAGTGGCTATAGCGAGTGTAATGAGCAGCATCAGCCGCTGTGAGTCTGCCATACCAGAATATTCTTCCCTCCTCTGCTTTCTTATCCTTCTCCTGCTCCAGCAGAAACGCTCTCAGGTGCCTTGCCTGGGTAAGAAAACGCCGTTGAAATGTCCACTAGCGTCTCATGGAAGCTCTGCCCATTTCCTGACACAGGAGTGAAAACGCAAGCAAGAGAACTTCTTGAAAAGGGGTCTCCTCCATGTTGGTTGGCAGGCTGTGCTGGCAGGCTGTTCAAACTTCCTGTAATGTGCAGGGTGGGCAGGAAAGCTTTCCCACAGTGCACCACAAGCAAAGGGACAGAGCAGCCACATTTTGGGAGTCTGAGATATGGTTGGTTTGACTTAACTCTGTGTGCTGAGTGTGGACACCAGAGCCCCCACTGGTTCAAGGATTAGAAAATTCTTAACATAGGGTTAAGAATCAATATAGACACTCAAACCTCAGGTTCTCTAACACAGGTCAGCAGACTTGAGTCCTATTAACCCCAGGCTTACATTGCAGTATAGACATACCCTCAATGTTATTACACAGCCTCTAAAATTCTCTTTATACAGTAGTATAAAGCTCAAATGGCTAAAAAAATCCTGTACATCTAACTGAAGTACACAAACTGGAAAACAGTAACCCCATATATCCCTTATATGTCACTTGTATGCCTGATATGTCAGATTCATAGATTCCAAGGCCAGAAGGGACCATTGTGATCATCTAGTCTGACCTCCTGAATAACACGGGCCACAGAACTTCCCAAAGTAATTCCTAGAGCATGTCTTGAAGCGTATTCAGAACATGCAGGAAAACCATGGAAAGCAGGATTTTGCTTGCCATTTTAAATACTTCATTTTAAGCAAATACAGTATCCACGATAGGTACGCTGCTAAACAAGTTACTTTTCACTGACCTACTTGTGATCCAATTTATCATTAGATACAACTGTTTTCAATGATCTGAAGAAAACAAGTTGGGAACAAAGTGAAGAGTTCTTGACTGGTTGAAACTAATTAGAGTGGTTGTTTTAAATCAGATATGTGGGATTTAGTCTCTTCATACTATGATCTCTGATTAAAACAGACAGTATAATCCAAGGGTGGATTACTGTAATTCAGAGTTTTGTGCTTTAACAGATGAAATTTTCTCTGGACATAATTTTGGGGCAAATGTTGTCATTAGGGGTACTACAGTAGGTTTAAAATTATGTACTGCATTTCTTCAAATCCCACGATATGGTACCATAGGAATTTGAAAAATTCTGTTTGCCATTTTTAATTTGATCTTTCTGATGTGTGAGTCAATTTTGTTGATTTTGGACATTTGCAATCAGTCTAATCCCCCACATTTTAGCGACTTCCATACATACCAATTTGGGATCCAAAGTCAAGGGCTTCTGGTGATACACAGACAAAGGGCTCAGATGATAGGTGTAGAAATCCTTTACTTAGAAATAGTAACTGCCTATTGTACTATTTGTAAGGGCAAAATTAAGATATATTTGATTTTTGTTGCTTATCTAATTCAGCTTTTTAGATTGCTTTAATTTTTTTATTTTTTAAGGGCTGCAAATTGCTTAGGGACACACTGCATGGAAGGCACTACACAGGAACAGTTTTTATTGTATCTCTCTCTCTGAAAAGGTTAAGCAGTTTTATTGCAGATGTCTGCCAGAAAAATCACATGTATCACTAATGGAAGAAGCAAGTGATAAAAGCCTCTGAGTTGATAGAGATAGTGAAAAAAGCAGTTTTAGCTCCTGTGACAGCATTCTGAAAAAAACCACTGTTTCTTATCAGCAGGTTGAGGAGGAATCAGACTGAGGTACAACAGTTGTATTGTAACTGTTTCTGATTGCATTTTGTCTTCTAATCCATACTGATGAGCTGTTTCCCGGGGAAAAGCAGTCTGGGGAGGCTGCTGCAATCTACGCAGAATCACACCGCTCGGATTCAGAAAGGTAAATATACGAAGATCAGGTCATTACAAGGCAACACATCTAGTTGAACCAATGGGAATTTAAGCTTTATTTTGATATATAACATGCTAAAGTACCTTGAAAAATGAACAAACTATTTTAAAGCCTTTAAATGAGAGATGGCTGCAAACTGGAGCCATTTTTAAAAATCCGCTGCACTATAAGGAGGGCTGGGGGATTTGATTAAACAGTGTCAAACTCCTTTGGTTTTGGCTTTACAATACCAAAACCAGCACAATTCCTCATTTTTCCTCTCTGTGACTATAAATAGCAAGTGACCTTGTTAAAAAACACAATGAAACAACACAACCTCTGGATACAAATATATTTCAGGCTCAGGAAACAAAACAAAATGACCTCTTACCAAACTTGATGGTGTACAGTCCTAGTTAGTGTTTGGAGAATTCGATGTGTAACTTGCAGTAACAATAACAGGAGTTATACAATTTGTTCAATTTACAATGTAATGTGCTGAAAATGTATCTTACTATGATGGCATTGGCCATGTCTGAGCTCCTGTTGGGCAAGATTTATTTTTATTTCATAAAACATTAGCACTTAAATTCCCTTTTTTTTTTTTTTTTTTTTAAAAAGGGCATCTTTACTTACATATCATCAAAGATGAGCTTTGTTCTTCTGCAGTCTTTGTGTGCCCTGGATAAAGATGGCCAAGGCTCTGTTTGGGAGTGTGGCTTGTTGCAGAGAACACTTTCTGAATTGATGTGAACTGCTTTCTAGACAACAAACAATACAGAACACATTGAGAAATTGACCACTGAGTTAGAAAAAGCAACTGATAAACTATGGAAATTTGTCTGCATTGTGCGGTAAATTGCAAGTTAGTTTGCTCACTATTTCGACAGGGAATACACAAAACTAGCTTGTCACTGATAGCCACAAATTCACAGATATTGCACATAGTTATTGGTAAAGGGCTTTAGAGTTTGAAGTGATATGCAGAAGAAACAAAACAGAATTATTAATCACTAGCTGAAGGGCCATAACACAATTAGTGTAGTTATTAAATCATCGACCAGTTGTGGTTATTCTGCATGTCAAGCCATGTTTCAACGTCCAAACTGTTTGGGGTTTTTTTGTTGTTGCTGTAACTTTCCACCAATTTGGGTTGTTATTCTTATTTGACAGTAACTGCAACAGGATAAAATTCCTTCTGCTTCAGACAAAAGAAGGAAATGGAATGAAGGTCTCAACAGAAAGCTCCATGATCTAACCACCACTTCCTGCCTAGCATTCTCTGCAGGTAATCCACACGATCACTTGGTCATGGCAGTTAGGCACCAGATGGGCAGATTTGCTAAAACAAAGCCAACCTTGACATTTACAGTTCATGAGCTCTCAACTTCTGTATGGGACATCCAGATCAGTTCAGTGGGATAGTTTTCAGTTGACTAACCAGATACATAAGAATTTTATTATAAGAATTATTAAAATGTTGACCAAATGGAGCACTGCCAGGCTATGCAGAAAATCAGAGTGGAATGCATTAGCTAAGGGTGTGGATCATAAAGCAATCACTTTTTACTTCTAATTTCCAACACATTTATCTTTGAGGACTTTAAATTATTTTCCAGATATCAAATACCGGTAATTATAACTCTAAATGAGTTCATAAACCAACCTCTAAACTTAGGTTTTTAAAATTTACATTTACTTCATGATGGAAGAGAAATGGGTGAGTCCAACATATTAAAAATGCCTTTTATATAGCCTATTTTTCAAATACTTAATTTTATTGATTTCTCTTTATTAAGTGTCTTTGTGAGAGACTCTAGGAACACTTACCTAATTTAGAACAACATATTTAAGACAAAACATCTCAAAGTTAGATCAGAAATAGTTACTTTTTGTCCCCACCTCATTACCCTCCCCTCTTCCCCCCAAAATCTGCCTTTTTGGAACAGGCCAGTTGCCCCTGAGCAAAAGTGACTTGAGGGGCTCAGGCTAAAGTTCAGTTTCCTGGGGTGAGATGGAGACTCTTGAAGCCTGTAATGCATCAAGACATAAATAATAATAAAGAATATATTTGGTGAAAATATTCAACACTTTCTCTTATTATTTCTTCTGCCTTTTCATGGAATGTATAATGGTTAAAACCGTGTTCTCTATGCAGGAAAAGATCATGCAACAGAATTCCTCATGTAGTTTCCTATGGATCATTTCACTGCTGGAGAGGGAAATGCTGAGATTAAACTCTGCTCATGAAACTGACCAATTTTGTGGCCTGGAAAAGCTGCAGATCTCTAGGGACCCGCTGAAGAGCTGGATCATCCACATGAAGGCCCTATTCCTTTAATCCATCACCAGTCTCCCCCTTCCTCCCCACCCGCGCAGCTGCCTCTTGACTGCATGGCAGGACAGCTACTGGGTGCCACAGTACCACAAACCCCCTTCGCCTACAAGAGGTGTTCCAAAAAATGGAACGGGTGTGCACCAAAGCTATTATCAAGTCCATGATTATTATTAATTTTGGGGCAGTATTGGTGGCAAGTCGATGCATGGAGAGTGTCCATTTCTCTTTCCCATGCACAGACCCTCAACTCTAAGGAGGAGCCTTTGATGGAAGGGGAAGAAGGATGCAGCAGGAGTAGCACTCTTTATCGCTCCCTGTATGTGGCGCTTCAGGGGTTTGCACTGGTTTTCTCCAGAGAGGAAATACTGGGTTGAGCTTCCTAGCTTAGAAGTTCTACTGTTCATTGGTCTGATTTTGCATTCCTTTCACTCCTAAGACTCCTGTTTCAGGAATCTAGTTATTCAAGAAAGGCAGGATTGGAGCAGCTTGTCTATTTTGCCACCTCTGTCATTTCATGCACGGGTCTGTACATTTATTGGAAATATATTTATGAGGAAAACTATTTCAGGCATGCAAACACACACAAGTTCAGTTCAGAATGCCAAGATCAGCAGCATATTTTTCTTGTACAACTTTTCTATGTTTTCAGACGTCTGAGTGGCAAAACATGGAATTCCTTACTTTTTGCCTGTTCCTTACTTCTTGCAAACCTTGGTTGTGTACTTACCTGCTCTATGGATTTCCCTCCACCTCCTATTTTTCAGGTCATTTTTAATCCTGTTATGTCTTACCATTTTCCCAATGGAAAAATCTTACTTAATGGAACATTCATTATTATGTTCCTTTCCATGATATTCTGCAGAAATATCAAGGGCTGTATGAGCAGCGATACAAAGAGAAGAAAAATCAGCCAGGTTTTATACTATGATCAACAACATAAACTTACATTGCAGTCTGCAGGATGTGGCTGTGGCTGGATTTCACTCTTATGTTTTTTGCTGGAGGACAAGGAAGGTAATAGACTGCTGCCATTAGGTCTACTGGAAGAAGTTAAATCATCAGTGGAGTATTTGTGTTTTGATGCATCAGAGAGGGGTGAGATGGGTGACCGAAGCATTTTCTCATTTTTATTTATTGGTATCGCCAAGCTGGAAATGGAAATTACAGTAATGGAGTGTCACATAGCTGACTTTGAGAAAGGTAAATGTTTTATATATTATCGAAACTTTGAATTTAAAACCTGCTGGCAGGATGAAGTCTACTGATGTCTGGAAACAACTTTATAGTATCAGGATCAAGAGTTCATTTACAAATTTGGATCATGTTTCTTCTCTTTCCCTCCAGGGTAAATTGTCATTCTGGGGTTACTATAAAGTCTATGTCAGAGTACTTGAAAAAATAAGGAGATAAATGGGCAATTGCTCACTGTCTTTTAAGGGTTACTTGGAGAAGGAGATGAGGCTCTAAAGTGTAAGTTTAGGTTATGGAGTCCTATTTCACAATAACAGGTGACAATTTACAAGCCATAGCAATAAAACCATATGTGAATTAAACAGGGAATGTGCTAGAAGACGATTGGGATGTCTCTGTATTCAATGACCAGGCTTTGATCATTCAATTTACGATAATTTGGTGCAGGTTCTGCAGACAAAGAAATATGTGCTAGTGTAATAGACAAAGAAAAGTATGCTCACAATAGAAACAAGGAAATGTGTACTGCTGCATCTTCTAAAAGGGAAAGCTGTGTTACAGAAGCCTTTTTTTTTTAGAGAAGCCACAGATAGGAAAAGTCAAGCAGGTAGCAACAGTAGCAATAAACTGTAAAGAAACTTTTCATGTGCTAATTTGAAAAAGATACTTAACTGAAAAATTAAAGCAACACATAAAGTATACATTTTTTAAGAGCAAGAACTTTTCATTGAGCCTAAATTTGTGATTAAGAGTAGGGTTACCATATTTCAGCAAGCAAAAAAGAGGACGGGAGGAGCCCCACCCTAGCCCCGCCCCATCCTGCCCTAGCCCCGCCCCTGCCCCTCCCACTTCCCCCCCTCAGAACCCCCAACCCTTCCCCCGCTCCTTGTCCTACCTAAGCCTCCCTGCCTCTTGTCCCCTGACTGCCCCCTCCTGAGACCCTCCCCCCATCCTAACTGGCCCCCTAGGACTCTATCCCCTACCTGTACCCTGACTGCCCCAACCCTTATCCACACCCCCACCCCCAGACAGACCCCTGGGACTCCCACGCCCCATCCAACCACTCCCCACCCCCTGACAGCCCCCTCCCCAGAACTCCCGACCCATCTAAACCCTCTGCTCCCTGCCCCCTGACAGCCCCCCCCCCCAGAACTCCCAAACACCCCCCCGCTCCTTGTCCCCTGACTGCCCCCTCCTGGGACCCCTGCTCCTAACTGCCCTCCAGAACCCCACCCCCTACCTAAGCCTCCCTGTTCCTTGTCCCCTAACTGCCCCCTCCTAAGACCCCCCCAATGCCCCCCAGCACCCTACCCCCTACCTGTACCCTGACTGCCCAAATCCTTATCCACACCCCC